CCACCATGCCCAGCTAATTTTTTGTATTTTTAGTAGAGACGGGGTTTCACCATGTTGACAAGGATGGTCTCGATCTCTTGACCTCGTGATCCACCCGCCTCGGCCACCCAAAGTGCTGGGATTACAGGCGTGAGCCACCGCGCCCAGCTAGTTTTCATTTTTAAATAGCAACAGACAAAACGTTCAGATAGAGGTGCATTTATAGTTATTTAGGTCATATAATAGGCCCTCTTACCTATTTTAAGTCATTAATAAAAGCTGCTTTGGAATTTTTATGTGAAATATATGCTTAATAGATTAATTTTCCCCATTTTATTGTTTTGGGAAGTAAATCCTATTGGGTTACATTTAGACCACTTTCCAAAGGATCACTTACTGTTGATATAATAATCACTCTAATGGTGAATTGAATCCTTATAAAGTTCAAGGTTTTATGCTAGTTCTTTTACTTATTATTAAAAAAAAATCTTTTTTGAGGCCAGGTGTGGTACCTCACGCCTGTTATCCCAGCGCTTTGGGAGGCCAAGGCAGGAGGATTGCTTGAAGCCAGAAGTTCGAGACCAGCCTGGGCAACACAGCCAGACCTTGTCTGTATATTTAAAAAAAAAAAATTATTTTAAACAGAATCTTGCTTTGTCATCTAGGCTGGAGTGCAGTGGCGCAATCACAGTTCACTGTAGCCTTGAATGTCTAGGCTTAGGGGATCTTCCTTCCTCAGCCTCCCAAGTAGATAAGACTATAGGCACTTACTATGTCTGGCTGATTTTTAAAAATTTTTTTGTAGAGATGGGGGTCTCACTTTGTTGTTGCCCAGGCTGTTCTCGAACTCCTGGTCTCAAGTGATCCTCCTGCCTTGGTCTCCCAAAGCACTGGGAATATAGTTGTGAGCCACTGAGCCTGGCCTGTGTTAGTTCTCGTGAAAAACACAGATGTATAAGATCCTGTCTTGATTCTCACATTGCTTACCATTTGCATAGGGAGAACAAGTGTATTCTATAATTTTAAAAGAGGTGATGATCCTAAAGGACTAGAAGGTCAGGCAACTTTATAGAAGAATTCTATACACATTTATTAAGTACCTCAGCTGCTCACAGTACTGGTTCATTATAGAGCTACAAAGGTTTCCAGGGAATTTGACATGGGAACTGTTTACTGTTATTTTCACTTAGAAACCTAGATTTGTTTAATGAGAATAGTTAAGAGTAGAAAAATAAGTTGCAAAGTCAGTGGTTTGGCATATCAGAACTGAGTGGAATGCTCACAGACTATTCTTAGAACAGCATTAGCACACTGCTTGGCACATGCACCATGATTTGATTTGCGTCTTTGAAGGCTGAACAATCTGAGACAGTCAGAAGGAAGACTGCATTCCAGAGAGGAGTTATCTGAGCAGAGGATGTAATTGGCTTTTCCTTTGTTTATAATTGAATGAAAGTAAAACTATGCCAGCATTGCTAGTTAGCTACTTTCAGCTGATGAATGCCTTTCTTCTTTACTTAACGCTTTTTGTGCCTTACAAATCTAAGAGGCAAGGAATCATGGACTTTGTCTTAAATATCTTTTGAGTTATTGATACCTATGCCTTTTCTCAATTAGTTAAATAATAAGTCAAGTAACAGTTTGATTACAAATTAGACTGTTGCTAGTCTCTTTGAACAGTCTGGCAAGCGTGAGAAGCTTTGTCAGAAAATGACCTAGCATGTGAATGACTATAAGAATGAAACAGTGTAAATCCAATACCATTTCAAGCACAGATTACCCTGATGGTTTCGGAAGTACAAATGATACTGAATTTAGGATAGTTTGACCTATGATTTTTCAACTTTTTGATAGGTTTATTGGGGGTATTAAATGCGTTTCAGCTAATATTTTCAACTTGTGTGATGGATTTATCAGGATATAGCCCCATTGTAAGTTGAAAAGCGTTTGTATAGCTTTTGTACATTTTTTTCACTAAAGTTACCTGTTTATAGATACTGTTTATGAACTAGTGAAAATACAGACCTCAGACTTCTGAATTGCACAAATATCTTAAGGTAATACAAATAATGTGTTAAACATTTTAATAATTTTTCAGCTACCAACCAATAGTTGACTACATAGATGCTCAGTTTGAGGCCTATCTCCAAGAAGAACTGAAGATTAAGCGTTCTCTCTTTACCTACCATGATTCTCGCATCCATGTTTGCCTCTACTTCATTTCACCGACAGGCCACTCTCTGAAGACACTTGATCTCTTAACCATGAAGAACCTTGACAGCAAGGTGGGTTGAGGAAAGGAATCAGCTTACCATACTTTAATATTTATTTTGAACTATTAAAATGTTTTTTACAATATGGGTATGTATTGTGACTTTTATCCTGTGCTGCTTCTTATTATTGTATTATTATTATTATTATTTTAGAGATAGGGTCTCACTCTGTCACCCAGGCTGGAGGTAGTTGTGAGATTGTGGTTCATGTAGCCTCGAACTCCTGGGCTCAAATGATCCTCCTGCCTCAGCCTCCTAGGTAGCTGGGACTATAGGCATGTACTACTTCCATGCCCAGCTAAATTTTAAATTTTTTTGTAGAGTTGGGGGTCTTGTTATGTTGCCCAGCTGGTCTCAAACCCCTGGACTTAAGTGATTTTTCCTGCCTTGGTCTCCTCAAGTGCTAGAACTACAGGCATGAGCCACCATGCCCAACACCTGGAAATCTTTAAAACATTTTATATTTCCATCTAGCTTATTTTTTTTTTCAGAGAAATTCAGTTTGGAAGATGAGATGTAAAGAAGGAATATCACAATAACATTTTACTTCCTTTTTTAGTGATTAAATTGGATGCACAACATGGGTATTCTCTACATTTTTAGTGCAGAATTTAGTTGATACTAATTTTACTTTATGACACTATTAAGTGAGAAGAACTTCGTAATAAGGATTAAGGTCTAATGTTTCATTAGATATTATTGTAAAATACATTTTAATTTGGACTATACTGAGAAAACCTATTTTCAAATTTCTGAGCCAAGGAGTTACGTATAAATTTAGGGAGCAGCTGGGCACAGTGGTTAATGCCTGTAATCCCAGCACTTTGGGAGGCTAGGGTGGGCAGATAACAAGTTTAGGAGTTCAAGACCAGTCTGGCCAATATGGTGAAACCCCGTCTCTACTGAAAATACAAAAATTAGCTGGGGATGTTGGCAGGTACCTGTAGTCCCAGCTACTCAGGAGGCTGAGGCAGGAGAATTGCTTGAACCCAGAAGGCGGAGGTTGCAGTGAGCTGAGATCGCACCACTGCACTCTAGCCTGGGTGACGGGGAGACTCCATCTCAAAAAAAAAAAAATTTATGGAGCTATAGAAAAATTCATAAATTAACTCACTTCAGATACTTGTATTTGTTTAAGAGAGAGCTAAAGACAGTAATCTTACACTAAAGAAACTAGAATTTTCTGGTAATCTCTAATGGTATGAGAAATGAACCTTTCATCATCTGAATTCCAAATCCTAGGTTGTTCTGGATGCTGCTGCTTTCTCTGCAGAAACCTGTGTGGAAACCATGAAGGCCTGTCAAGTGAAGCTTTGGCACATAGGTCTATTTATTTTTGACTAGTTGCTTGGTCCCCTGGCTTTAGCAGAAATTGATGTAGCTTATATGACAGTCTGTTCACCTGATCACGTGTGATGAGATGTTCTAACCATTTAGCCAGTTGTTTTCATAGTTGAGTCTGATTACATGGAAATTCATATTTGTTAAAGGAACATAAAAACAAGAGTGTGCAGTTTTGTCTTAGCTAGAGTGGAACAACATGAGGTAGTTTGTATAAAGATTGTAGAAGTTGATGTCAGTGAGGGCTGGCTGTAAATATTGGCTCTGTCATTTAATAGCTGTGTAATCTTGGCAAGTTTCTTTAGCCCTGAGTCTCAGTTTCCTCCCCTAATAAAAACTAGGGAGAAGAACTACCTCAAGAGGCAGATATGAAAATCAATTAAATTGATCCCTGTAAATAGAGGGTTTAACAAATAGGCATGCCCAGTAAGAGCCTATCTGCCATAGAAGTTTGCTTTAGCATACTGTGTGAGTATATATTATCTAATCTTCTCCAACTTTGGTGATTTAAATATATTCTTTATTTTTCATGATAAAGTGTAAACTACCGCGTAAAAATACCTGCCTCTTATTTTACATAAAAAGGTTGTCTTAAAAGTTAGCTGAGGCCTACCTGGTTCAGTACACTGTCCTGGTATAAAACAGGCAGTCAAGAGGGGTTAGTACCTGGCCATCATGCTGAACTGCCTGGATTCTGCTTCAGTCCCACCACTTATCAGCTGTGTGGCCCTGGAGAAACTCAGATTCAATTTCTCATGTATAAAATAGGGCTAGAGAGCTTACTCTAAGACTTTTGGGAAGATTAGCTGAGATGACTATTATAAAGCATTTATCACAATGCCTGGCATATGTGAAGCATCTCTGTTATTTATTGTTTTGTTATTTAAAACTTACTTAAAAATTAACAGGCACAGTTTGTCGAGGATATTTATATGTTGGTATTGGAGGTATTGTCCAACCCAACCATCTTTGAGTCATCAAAAGTTTTTCGGAAGTGTCAGGAGCAATTTATATTGATATATTCCCTTAGTGGATTTTCAGGAATAAATGAAAGGGCTAATGAACACTTGTTCAGAGGCAATATATCTTGAACCAGCAGTTCACCTGCTAACTCTTAGAACAACTAGTTCTAGATGCTTCCTAGTCATTCCTCAGTATCCAAGGGGGATTGGTTTCAGTACCCTGCAGATGCTGAAATTCCTTATATAAAATGGTATAGGATAGTCATGCAGTGTATAACTACATTTCAGTCAGCAAATACAGAATGGGACCAAATATAGAATGGCGGTCCCATAAGATTATACCTTATTTTTACTGTACTGTATTATATGTTTCTGTGTTTAGATGTGTTTAGATACACACATACTTACCATTGTATTATAGTTGCCTACAGTATCCAGTATAGTTACATGCTGTACAGGCTTGTAGCCTAGGAACAATGAGCCATACCATACAGCCTAGGTGTGTCATAGACTATAACATCCAGGTTTGTGTGAGTACACTCTATGATGTTCACATCACATCAAAATCACCTAAGGTAATATTTCCGTTGCATTTCTATCACCACGTGTATTAGTCTGTTTTCACATTGCTATAAAGAACTACCTGAGACTGGGTAATTTATGAAGAAAAGAGGTTTAATTGACTTACAGTTCCTTACACTGAACAGGAAGCCTGGCTGGGAGGCCTCAGGAAACTCGTAACCGTGGTGGAAGGCGAAGGGGAAGCAGGCATGTCTTCCATAGCCAGAGAAGGAGGAGGAGAGAGCAGGGGGAGGAGCTACACACTTTTAAACAACCAGATCTTGTGAGAAAGAACTCACTATCACAAGAACAGCAAGGGGCGACTCCGTCCCCATGATCCAGTTAACTCTTACCAGACCCCTCCAACACTGGGAAACCAATTTGACATGAGATTTAGGCGAAGACACAAAACCATGTCACTGTGGTTAAGCAGCACATGACTCTGTAACCTACTTGTATCCTTGCATATGCTTGAATCTCTAGATTACTCATTAAATACCTAATACAGTATAAATGCTATGTCAATAGTTGTTATACTGTATTTTAAAATTTGTATTATTTTTATTGTTGTATTGTCATTAAATTTTTTTTTCCCCTAATATTTTTGATCCTCAGTTGGTTGAATCTGTCAATGCAGAACCCACAGATGATGAGGGGGCCAGCTATAAAGACATTGAAGAGCATTACAATATTATTTTTTAACCAATACCTTATTTTATTCAAACCAAAATGAAATATTTTATGGTAACAGTAAAGATCATGGGTATCATGTACTCGTTTAAAGATTGTCACTACTCACTTCTGCCTTATTCAGTTGATGAGAGACGAATTCTGAAATTGAGACTCACTTATTAAAATCCTGCCTTTAGCTTTCTGTTGTACAAATCAGACAGGAACGTTAACACCAAAGCTTTGTTATAAGTTTGAAAGAAGAACTAGGATATGCTTCAGTTACTTGATTTGGCCCATTTTATATGGTCATACGCAGGTTTTTTTATAGGGGCAGCTGGCAGGTGTAGGGAAATTCTAACTTACACAAGGGCACTACATAAAGATGAGTGGGGTCCTTGCTGGCCTCTTCTCCCTACTCCTCAGCCCACCTCCAGATAATTGTCTTCTGTTTCTAAAAAGCAGAACATTCAACTGCTTGACGTGAAAAGTTACCTTTTCTTATACCAGTGGTAACAAGTGACCCTCTTTGAGCAATATCTGTTACTTTCCCTCCCTCTAATAGTCATGTAAACATTGATGTTTAGTGTTCATTCTACAGCAGTTTATTGTGCAAGTAATTATAAGTTATTAACTTGGTGTAATTTGTTGAATACCTAATTATACTATATTGAAACCAAGAACTTGACACCAAAGTTTATATACTTTGACTAATTTAACAGGAAAGTTGATTACTGAGGATTGCTGGAAGGTTTTCTGCCATTAATTTCATAGATGGATAGAAAAAATTTATCTCCTTTGGAGCATATGGAAGACTTATAAATTCACATATATACTTTGTATCAATGTGAAATTGGGGAAGAGAAAAAAGAATAGAATAGGAGTTATGGTTTTTTACTTTTAATCTGAAAATTACATTGCAGTTTTACTCTTGATACATATGACTGATTAGCATGTGGTTTTTGATTAAAAACAAACTAAAAAAACAACTACCAGTCACAGATTTGTGGAGCTATCAGTCTTTTGTGGGAATATTAATCTTATAGGACTAGATTTACAAGTTATTTGGTCTTCACAACCCCAAATCTCTTCCTCTCTGTCATTGATGGGACTTTAAGTAATACAGAGAAAGTTATTCCTTTGCATCATGAACACTTTTAATTGGTATTGGTGCGGTTTCCTTCCTTCCTCTGCTGTCTAGGTCAGTCTGTGACAATGGGGTATAGGTAGGCATGGAGTCAGTCCTGAAACAAGAGGCAGAAAGAGAAGCTTCACCTGTCTTTTGGTTTTGCTGAGGGATCAATCACCATAGTGCTTAGCTTATTAAAAAATAAAAATTCTTAGTGAATTAAGGAGGCAACTTCACTTCAGTTTACCTTTTATCACATTTTACTTTTTAAGTGTATGATGAAATTATAAGATTTTGAGATACAGAAAAGAAAATGTGAGCTTTCTAAACCTAAATTCAAATGAAAGGTTAATCTTACAAGAGTTCTGCTTTCTAAAAGCATTGATCGAGGTGCCTTTATAGTCCCAGCTACTTGGGAGGCTGAGGGAAGAGAATCGCTTCAGCCCAGCAGGCAGTGGTTGCAGTGAGCTGAGATCATGCCACTGCACTCCAGCCTGGGTTAGAGGGAGACTCCATCTCAAAAAAAAAAAAAAAAAAAGAAAGAAGAAAAGCAATGATTGTGTGGCTAGCATCTGTATGAATGAGTGTGTATATAGGAGAGTGTCAGTCAGGGCCTGTGTAGGTTGGGGTTGGCATGCCTTTTCTGCAGAGGGCCAGGTAGTGAATTTACCGGACTTTACAAGTGCTGTGGTTTCTGGCAACAGGGACTCATCTCTGCTGTTGTAGTGTGAACAGAACTGTAGACAGTACACAGGCAAATGGGCATTGGCGGTATTGTAAATCTTATATATAAAAATCAACAGCAAGATGGACCATAATTTGCCAGCCCCCGATCTAGGTTAGGGAAATTCATTGTCAGAATGAATGGTTTTGAGTGAAAAAACAGCTGCAGGATTAAAAAAACGAATCCCTGATGAGATTTTGTTTTTCTTTATTCTTAATAGGTAAACATTATACCAGTGATTGCCAAAGCAGATACGGTTTCTAAAACTGAATTACAGAAGTTCAAGATCAAGCTCATGAGTGAATTGGTCAGCAATGGCGTCCAGATATACCAGTTCCCAACAGATGATGACACTATTGCTAAGATCAATGCTGCGATGAATGTGAGCTCCTGATTGAATGCTAATTGTTTTCCATGTGAAAATAAAACTGTAATTTGCGAGTAATATTGCTGCTAATATGCTTTCACTTGTGTCTTCCAAAAAGACTTCACACAAGGTGAATTTTCAAAAAGCCCAGTATGAGAAAATTTTTTTTTTTTTTCTTTTTTTTTAAGACGGAGTTTCACTCATGTTACCCAGGCTGGAGTGCAATGGCGCGATCTCGGCTCACCGCAACCTCCGCCTCCTGGGTTCAGGCAATTCTCCTGCCTCAGCCTCCTGAGTAGCTGGGATTACAGGCACGCACTACCATGCCCAGCTAATTTTTTGTATTTTTAGTAGAGACGGGGTTTCACCATGTTGACCAGGATGGTCTTGATATCTTGACCTCGTGATCCACCTGCCTCGGCCTCCCAAAGTGCTGGGATTACAGGCTTGAGCCACTGCGCCCGGCCGAGAAAATGTTTTATTTTTTACGTTGGAAAAAGTGTAAGGAGAATTTATTTTTAAGCATATTTTTCTTTCACTCTGCTTTCACCAAAATAAAGTGATACATTTGTGAGACTGGGATATACCTTTTGTGGGACCACATTTAATTCCCTTAGAAAGATGACACCTTCCTATCCTGTCTTTGTAAACATGAGAAGACTTTACAGCCTCCCTTGGCATGCCTTAGAATCTTAAAATCTGGGCCAGACACGGTGGCTCACACCTGTGTTCCCAGCATTTTGGGTGGCCAAGGCGGGCAGGTCACGAGGTCAGTAGTTCGAGACCAGCCTGGCCAATATAGTGAAACCCTAACTCTACTAAAAATAAAAAATTAGCCAGGCGTGGTTCATACTCTGGAGGCTGAGGCAGAAGAATCGCTTGAACCTGGGAGGCAGTGGTTGCAGTGAGCCGAGATCGTGCCACTGCACTCCAGCCTGGTGACAGAGCGAGATTCCATCTCAAAAAAAAAAAATTTTGAAATCTTTAAGGAGGTCTCTTAAATCTAGTATTTATGCCCCGTTTCTCTTAGAGTGTCATATATACATACTAAACATTCATGTAACTTTTAGTTTAATACAGTCACATTTTTAAAACACCTGGTTATGTTTTGTAGGATTGTGGGTTTTGAAATCCGACAGACTTGGCCATATGTTCATTGGAGTTACTAACCTCCCTGAGACTTAACATATCTACAAAGTTAGGTTAATACTGCCCATCTTAAGGGTTCTTGTGAGGGATAAATGATGTCACCTTTGTTAAGTGCCTAACGGTGACTTTCAATAACTGTTCATTCTATTTCTTCTATTTTCCTTTTCTGATTTTTCATAGCCCTTTTGTATTAAGATACATGAAATCTATAAAAAACTGACATATAAATGAAGCAGTCTTAATTTCTATGCGTTACATTGTCATTACATCTAATTTTATTTCTTGTGCTCACCTAGAATATTCAGAAAGCCACCATTAACTAAATATAATGTCAGTTTTTAAATATTAAACATAGTACTTAATAGTTTTTACGTTAGACTTTTCCCCGGTATTAATCCTCAACTTCAGACAGACCAGTCTACTCCCTGCACCTGAACCTAGCTGTTGCATTTTGTTCAGAATCTTTTCCTTTTTTAAGCCATTTCTTCCCACTTTGCTTATCTATCTAAATCTTGTTCTTCTTGATCTGGCTTAGCTTTTATCTTCCTGCTCCCAGTGATCTCTCATTCGTCTCAATTTCTAGGGCATTTGCCATATTGACATTAATTTAGGATTTTACATACTACTTTGAATTAGTACCACATCTATATACACACACACACACAATAGATATACACTATGTTGTATAGTTACATATACATTATGTATTGTGTGTGTGTGTGTGTGTGTGTGTGTGTGTGTGTGTGTGTAATTTCCTCAACATTGTCTTTTTGGGGAAATATAATATTGAGGGAAATGATACCTATACTAAAATTCTTTTTTCTTTGGCCAGGTGCAGTGGCTCACACCTGTAATCCCAGTACTTTGGGAGCCCAAGATAGGTGGATCACCTAAGGTCAGGAGTTTAGACCAGCCTGGCCAACATGGTGAAACCCTGTCTCTACTAAAAATACGAAAATTAGCTGGGTGTTGTGGTGGGCACCTGTAATCCCAGCTAATTGGAAGGCTGAGACAGGAGAATTGCTGGAACTATCATAGGTGGAGGCTACAGTGAGCTCAGATCGCGCCACTCACTGCACTTCAGCTTGGGTGACAGAGCGAGACTCCATCTCAAAAAAATAAAAATAAACAAAAATAATTTTTTTGTTTGTGTGTATTTCCAATAGCATAATGCCTTACATGTAATAATTTTCTTTATGGGGCCCAAAATTGACTCTTGTAGAACAGTTAGTACGTATTCACTGGCAGGTTTTAAAATCTGAGGCTTAGCTGACCACTTGATTTTAATAGATTTGTTATTTAATAAATTATTCTCTTCTCAATTACATAAAATTTTTTTATCTTGTCAGTTATCACACTGGTATGAGAAGGTGTGCTTGATATGATTCTTTTTCAGGGACAGTTGCCGTTTGCTGTTGTGGGAAGTATGGATGAGGTAAAAGTTGGAAATAAGATGGTCAAAGCTCGCCAGTACCCTTGGGGTGTTGTACAAGGTAAATGAGATAAAGGATGACTAGAAATAATGTGTCTAGTAATCTCAAAGCTGTCTTTTGTGGATTCTTTGAGGTGATGCTAAATTTGGATGAGATTGGTTGTCAGAGGAGTTGCCTGTGTACTATTTTAGCCAAAGTCTAGACACCATGTAGAGCCTCCCCCTTCTCATTATGCCACACACACATTACCTCCCCAAGGTACCCTGACTGTCAGTAGGTGGGAAGCACCAATGGGCCACTTTGACCAAAATGTGAATGTAGAAAGTAGTATTTAGACCATAAAACATGACAAATTACCACTTAACTATAAGGACAGTCAGCCATCTTATAAATTTATATATTTTTATTGATCATAGGATTGCTAGCCATTTCCAGAATAAACCAGTCAACCAACTTAAAAAGTTAAATCCACTTGACATTTAGATTATTTGTCTGACATTATAATGAGTAAGTAATTAGTACTGTATGGTTCATTTACTTATGGCACTAATTAATGGGGAATAGATTACCCTTACTAGCATAGAATTCCAAATGCTGATTTTTTTCTTAATTGATAACTGTTGTAATTAATGAAAAATATTGAGAAAATGTAGCATTTTAAATTTTATAAAAAATATAAAAGTAATAATTATACTAAAGAGTATTGGTCACAATAAAATATATTTATTTGTAGTCCTCTGGTCACCAAAAACATAGAAGAAGGATCATGTAAGTGTGTTCACTAATTTTGAATAGTGTCTAATACAGGATCATAAATGTGTTGTATAAAAGAATTTGATAATTATAGCATGAACAGATGGTATTCTTGAGTTTGCAAAATTTACTACTTTGAAGTTTTAGTGAACTAATATTATATACTCTTTTTAAATGCTAGGTGAAATGTTTTCAGGATAGTTTGTAAACTAACAAAATATTAGTGTGAAATAACTGGAACACCTGGTTGACAATAAATTGTGTCTTTTTGCTATTTCCTGGTGATCCACTGGCTACTAAATTTAAAGCAAATCTCCTGGTCTGTTAATTCACATTGCCTATAATACAGTGTGTATACTGCAAGAGTTTCGTCTTTGCTTACTTGTATGAAATAATCATAGCTATTAATCAAACTGATCATTCTGCTATTTGTTATTTCACGTTTTTATTTATTTGATCATTCACCAAACACTTAATTGTGTGCCAGGAATTAAAATCCAGTGTTGCTCTTTTCTTATTTTTTCTGGCTAGTGGAAAATGAAAACCACTGTGACTTTGTAAAGCTGCGGGAAATGCTCATTTGTACAAACATGGAGGACCTGCGAGAGCAGACCCATACCAGGCACTATGAGCTTTACAGGCGCTGCAAACTGGAGGAAATGGGCTTTACAGATGTGGGCCCAGAGAACAAGCCGGTCAGGTAGGGTGGGGTTCTTGGGAAGCCAACCAAAGAGGAAGTTAGAGAGGATTGCATATTTTTTTATATATCCAGGATGATGGGGCATGTAGTTTTTAGAAATCTCCCAAAACCATGATACAGAATTGTTTAGTAATGACTAATTATTGTGCTTCTTGAATCACTTGACTCCTTACTTTTGAAGAATCTTGCTTTTTAAGTCTGACTTCCTTGTCTGACTCAGAAGGAGTTAAATATGATGAAGAAGGTATGGCAGAGGCCCCGCTTCAGTTCATGCTGGCATGAATAACTGAAGGAAAATATCTTTATTATTTGATTTACTTTTGTATTTATCTGAGACAGATGATATATTTAACTATTGTCAAAAAGGTAAGTTGGAACACAAATCATTGTCTTATTTTTTTTTTTTTTATTTATTTTTTGTAGAGATGGGGTCTCACTATGTTGCCTAGGCTGGTCTCAAACTCCTGGCCTCAAGTGATCCTTCTACCTCAGTCTCCCAAAGCTTTGGGATTACAAATGTGAGCCTCTGAACCAGTCCTCAGGAATCATTTGAAATAAACTAAAACATTTTCTGTTGGTTTTTCTCCATTAAAGGTTTTAGAATGTGTGAAGAGCAAAACATAAAGGAAGAATGAGAGTACTTGTAGGGAGTCAGAGATTAGATTGTTTCTTGCCATATTACAACATAGTTATAAGAATTTTATAATCTGAACACCTCCTTGCTCAGTAATATAAAACTAATATTAAAAGTCATTAGAAACTTTCTTGGCAATTTTATATGGTGCTGTATCCTAGACTTTATGAAACTTGAATGCTTAGTGTATTGAATTAAATTGATTTGATGTAGCATTCCAGAACAGTGTTTGCATGGAGAAAAGCGTGAGATCCTTGGGGCAAATGCTATTTAAACTCTCTTATGAGACTGAGGATTCCTTTTCCATTGTTATTTCCCTGGTTCTAATGACTTGCACCAGCCTAAACACAAAAGGAAGGGGGAGGAGTGCATCAAATCAGTGCTGCTGTTGCATATGAGCTTTTGGAAGACTTAATCCTAGATGAAGTTAAATTTTTTAATTTCTTCAGTCTGTGGAGTTAATTTTCTGGTAGCATAATAAGTTAAAAATTGTGTGTACTTATGACCAGGCGCAGTGGCTCATGCCTGTAATCCCAGCACTTTGGGACGCCAAGGCGGGCAGATCACTTGAGGTCAGGAGTTCAAGACTAGCCTGGCCAACATGGTGAAATCCCTGCTCTACTAAAATTATATAAATTAGCTGGGTGTGGTGGCACACGCCTGTAAAACCAGCTACTCAGGAGGCTGAGGTAGGAGAATGGCTTGAACCTGGGACACAGAGTTTACAGTGAGCCGAGTTTGTGTCACTGCACTCCAACCTGGGTGACAGAGCGAGACTCCATGTCAAAGAAAAAACGAAAAATCATTGTGTGAACTTAACCCACTCTCACCAAATTCAGGCATGGAATACTTCTGGTTATAGTCCAGTCATTCTGGTAACTGACAGTTTTCTCATGATATTGTCTTCGCTAAAGATTAATCATCTCAAGTTAGCTTCCCTAGTGTGTACAGAGGAGGCTCACTTCTCATTTCTTCCAAGTCTCAGGGTCACTTCAGAGGCCTCTGTGCACTGAGGAGGAAGGGATCCCAAGTAACGGCAGGCAGGGACAGCTTTGAAGTCCTCTCTGAGGAGAGGGGCATGGGTCCCTGTTTGTCAGCTACCTGTGAATGATTAAGAAATGCAGGATCAGGCTGGGCGCAGTGGCTCACGCCTGTAATCCCAGCACTTTGGGAGGCCGAGGCAGGTGGATCACGAGGTCAAGATATCAAGACCATCCTGGTCAACATGGTGAAACCCCGTCTCTACTAAAAATACAAGAAATTAGCTGGGCATGGTGGTGTGTGCCTGTAATCCCAGCTACTCAGGAGGCTGAGGCAGGAGAATTGCCTGAACCCAGGAGGTGGAGGTTGCGGTGAGCT